GGATGTTCATTTTAAGTTTCTGATGGTCATGATTATTATCTTGATCATTTGAGACCGTGTCTTAAATTTATCTACTCCATCTAATTCTTACCACACTGCTAAAGTATGTTATAAAGAATAGAACTTCACTTTAAGAAGGAGTATTAGCGAATCAAAAGAGAGATTTACTAAATACTACTTCCTCTAATGAACAGAACTCTGATTCACATGCTCTGCTGCTTGTTTTGATGATTGGTTTCTATAGAAGGGCTAGGCTTCACCGCTTGCCTTTCATAAGCAACTACACTCTTCCATTTCTTATCATCAGATGAGAACGTTGTAATAGAGAAAGCCTCGTGTTTGAAGAATGGGAAGTAAGAGTCATTAGGTCAGAAATATGTATGTCTCAAGGTTTTAATTGAGAAGAGAAAGATGGTAGGAGATAGATGAATTCAATTTGCCATAAAAAAGTAGACTGAAAAATGAAACTACTGTGTCTACAATCAGTTTCATAAACCAGCCTGCATCTAAGATCTTAAGTATGTTTTTCCATATTTTGTCTTCTCCAACAACCAAATGTGGAAAGCAAATATGATTGCTCCAATGTGCTAAGTACAAAAAGAGTTCATTATGAGTAGTGATGATTTAATACAACATAACTTTATAATATCCACAAAATCACACAAATCATTATATGCCATCTGATAAAGTATATGGACTTCATGAACATTTGTTTATTTGTTTATTGTGCATAGTTATACACACACACACACACACACACACACACACACACCACAATACTTCAAGACACTCTTTTGGTACATTCACACCAATGTGAATCATTTACTAGGCTTTGAATAATGCATAGAAATAGAATTCTAAATAAAACACTTTATTTCTGGTGTGTGTTTGAGAATAGTTATTCCTATGAATATGTTTAATATTTCTTGTGAACTGCTTGGGACATGAAGCATTTCATATTTGACACATGCACACATATGTAATGGGATACATGGTAAGATATTTCCAAGTTTAATCTGAAAATTCATTTATGTTTTATATATTATTTTTAAATTTTATTTTATTATGTATAAGGGTATTTGGGCTGTATATATGTGTACCACTTGTATGCTTGTGCCTGTGGAGAGGAAAAGAAGGTATTGTAACCTTAGTTTTTAAGTTACAGACTATTGTGAGCCTCCCTGTGAATGCTGGGAATTGAACGCAGGGTCTTTGGAAGAGCAGTTAATTAGGAACATTCTCTTCCATCCTCATACGTTCATTATTTACACATGCTTGCAAGCAGGGCACACGTTTATAGTGTCATTTTTTTATAAAGGAATACTAATCACATGAGGTAATAATATGGAAGTTTTCACTTGTAGTTATGACCGTGGCACTCAGAAAGTTTTGTATTTTGGATAATTTCTGTTTCATGATCATTTATAATTAGGAATCCTCTGTGTGGATGAAATTATCTGACAACAATAATGTGATGCCTGAGTCTTGATTTAGTCAAAGTAGTGTTCTAAACTTTGTCTAGCATATTAGTGACGAATGATATCTTTCGGTATTTCTATATTTATTTTGATAGATGAGTCAGTAAGCAGGATAGCCAATCACTAATGATTTCAGTAACTGGTTTTTTAGTTTAGTCCCAGTCAAGAAGAAATTGGATATTTTGTAATATGTGCATTGATTTTGAATTTAATCTGTCAGAATTCAGAAGAAAATGGACGATCAAGGCTTAGAGATAAAACTCATTAGCATGTTTTATTTTTATTATTATTTTTTACTATTCTTTCCTTAACAAACACAGTAGCTTGTGGATTATGACAATAATTTTTCAAATAGAAAAGTTTGTAGAGGAATGGGATTGTTCTAAAGATATTCAAATGTCAAAGACAACACAGACACACACACAAGTTTGTAAAAGCAATGAAACTGTTGTACAGTATTTAAATAAATTACTATAACATTTATGATATACATTTAAAAATTCACATGTATAAATTTTACCTATAAAATTCAGTGTTTTAATAAACATTTAAAAACATAGTGAATATTGAGGAAATGATTTTATTTATTTCTCAAAATAGTATTTATATGTTGGGCATGTAATTCATTTGTTAAAATTCTTGCCTGACCTGTACCAAACCCTGAATCCTGAGCATTGCAAAAGAGAACATGCTTGTAATAATAGCATGTTGGAGATGGAGGCAGAAGAATCAGAAGATCAAGGGTCATATTCAGTTAAGATGCTAGCTTGAGGCCTAAGATACACAGCACCTTCACAAAACAACAAAAATAATAATAAAGATAATAATAGATAATAAAGATAATAATAATATAACCTTTCTAAATGGAGAAATGATTGTTGAGGAATCAAGACACACCTCAAAGCTGACTCAATTTTTCTTTATAAATGATTGCACAAATGAGCAGACTGTCAATTAAAGAACATTGTGAAAGCCATCTAGCCATTACAACCTGAAAGCAGTATACCCAGAGACCAAGAAATGTTTCACTTTTTCCCCTCTAAATGATGCTAAGTACTCATTTAGAGAGAATAAGGGATGCAATAGAACATTTTATCAAGAAATATGTCCTTATGTCACAGATATGCATTGTGCAACTGGCCTCCTACACTGACCACTTTTCAACAAAATTCTGTAAAATTTGATTTCTGAAAGTATGAGTTCTTTTCATAATATAGCAAATATCAGCACAAATACAATTACAATGCTTTATATGTTGAAATAAAATGTTGGTTATAAACCATGCAAGAAGTATCATATGTCTATAAAACTGCAAATGGTTTGTCTGGAAGAGTGTGTGTTAGAAACATATATCATTGATAGTGATAATAAATATTAATGCATATCCAATTCCTATTTCTATGATTTGGGGCTTGATGATACAGTTAAATTCCAAAGCATATACACTGTTATCTTTAATTAAGGCTCTACTCTCTCATGGAACCTACTTATAAACAGAACAAACAATATAGAGCTTTGCAATTTCAACTTTTTAAATGTAACAATAATCTGAAAACAAATATATGAAGTTTCTTTAATAAATTATTCTTTCTAAAATGGTTAAGAATATTTAAAATAAAAAGTTCAATATTAGATGTTAAAGTTAACATTGCTCACACAGAAAAGAAGTGGAAGATAAAAATAGTTTATATACAGACACACTATTAATGTTTTCAAAGAGGCCTGTCCTTTAAAAATACTTATGTTTAAATTAATAGTGAGTTTAGCAAAACATTCTTTTTCTAAATATACATGAGCACACATGGCTAGGTGAAAATTGTGTTCTAGAGTGACATTTCACATGTTCTTAATGTCTAGTTATCCTGGAGGCACTTGGTGGCCTTTCCCTTAGCTTTATCATGTAACTAGCTGCATATCAAAGTTTTACAGTATGTAACCTTGGATAGCTTAATGGGGGTCAGTCATATCTCTGAAGAAAAAAATAAGGCATGATCTTCTACCTAAGAAAAGCCCTTGAAGCCTTGCCCCTCTCTCTTTTGTGCAGGTGGGGCACTGGGCTAGAGGATGGGAGTGGGGAACATCAACTTTGCTGTTCTAGCGAGCTATGCATTTCTTGCTCTTTAAGCTTCCTGAAGTTGGTAATCTGCTTAAGTTTGAGAAGGGATCTCTGTGTCCTTTGGTCTTGTCTGCCTTCAGTGAGAATGCCAGCAGAGGAAGCATAAGAGGCAGCTTGCTGCCTCCACCGCTTGCCTCCAGCTAAGGGTCCATAAACCACTTCTGAATGCGGGATGATCTACCTTCTTTTTCTGGCTACTTTATAATTTTCTGCAACTACCCAAAGGCACACTGTTTCTATTTCTCAATTTACAAGTTCCCCCTTCTGTGCATAAATCTGATTCCTTCCTTCATTCATTTCTTTTCTCCAAGTTAGAATATTCACCAACCCAGTGGAGAAAATCCGGGAACTTTCCACCTCTAAGCCAGGATTCTAGAAAGGATAGGAACTCGTGAACTCAGAAAAGAAGAGGCAGCCTCAATGGGTGAAACCCCACTCTTTTGTATACTGAGTTGAATTTTCCTTTTGTCTTGTGGCCAGGTGAACCTGGGCGGCCACACAGCTGTGTCTTGGAGTTGGAGATGCCCCCTGCAAGTTAGTCTGCTTCCATTCATAGCTATCAGGTTTGTACAGTTCCTCTCCAGGTGCACGCCCATCTTTCCATCTATATCCGAGTCTTTCAGGACAGTCAGTACATCCCTTTAAAATACCTATCGAATCACCAAAGAAGTTTTGTCTCCTCATTCCCCGCTCAGGTCTACACTGTTTGTCCCCCAAGTCAGACCAAACATCTCTCAAAGAGAAAGTAAGATTCCATAAACTTTGCCTCCACGGACTTTCCTGCCGCGGTGCACCAACGCTCACTTGCCTATACACGGGCAAAAATACACAAGACCAGGAAAACAGCGGATGAGGTAGTCAGCCAGTGGGCAACTATTAAGGGCACGTTAAAGTCGTTGCTGTAGCCAAAAAGGAATGCGCTGCGCTTAAGAGGCATCAAAAGAGGATTTTGAAATGTGCATGGGGAAAAAAGACCATAAAATGATGGATATAAACACACATACAGAAAGATACCTTTTGCACCTGCTGTCAGCACACAGCAGTTCTCCCGGGAGGCGCACACTTTTGAGAGAAATCACTGTGGGCTGCACCGAATGTAATAAATATCCACAGCTCATATATCTTTGGAACTGACAATCCCTGCGTTGTATTGGACTTCTCGCTGTGGTCACCATGAGCCCAACGCACTTGAGAATGGGGACTCTAGGTGGCCCAGAGCCCTCACCTTGGTGGGCAGAGTCCCCTAGACAGGTGCCAAGCGCTCCTCAGGTCAAGCAACAAGCGGACTAACAGGGGAAGGCCGCCTGCCCTGGTACCCGCGCGGGTCATCTCTCCCCGCCCCCATCCCCAGCTGCCGCCGGGCCACTGGAGCGGCGGAGAAGGAGAAAGCCGAGTTAGCCACTCACCCCCAGCTTCCTGCTGCGGATTTTCACGTAGCCCTGCTTGACTATGTCGTTAAAGTTGGAGGCCATGGCCAGCGCGGTCGGGCTCCCTTGCTGGGCGATCCGCTTCTTGGAGTCGTCGACCGCTGTCCACCGCCCGGTCCACGCAGGTCTCGCATCCAGCCGGCCGTCGCCGGCAGTCGCGCCACCGCCGATTCTTCCCCAGGCTCCTGCCGGCGCGGACGCTGAGTCGGTAGCTGGGGACGGCAGGGCCGCCAAGCACCCGGACCAGGGTACCGGGCCCGGCTCTGCTCAGCAGCACCAGCACCTTGAGCGCGGTCTTCACCTCCGCCCCCGACCACGAGGGGAGCACCGCGGCCAGCGCCGCCCCCAGCTGTGCCCCCCTCCGCGCCGCCGCCCCCGGCAGCACCCACGGGCTGGCGCCTCACTCGGCGGCGCACAGCTGGCCGGAGCGCACCATCTCGGCTCCCCGGCGCGGAGGAGGGGGAGGGACGGCGGGGCGGGCCGTTGCGCCCGCTCGGCTCCCTCCCCCTTGCCCGCCGGGTGGCAGGGCTGGAGGATGCTGGCAAGATGTACTCCATCACTCACTTCTCCGGCAGGGAGCTCCGCCTGCCACCCGCGCCTAGGGTACCGCTCCCACCAGAGTCCTGTGCGGGCACCACTTGCCTAGGCGTGGATTCCTAAGGACGAGGATTCTCATTCCACCGCTGCTAATCTCGCCACCCAAGACTGGGCTGTGGGGGACAGAGCAGTGGGGGACTTCACGGGTTCGCAGAAGGCGAAGGAGAGAGAAACAAATGTTTATTTTAGAGATGGTGTCTACAATACATTTTTAGTTCTAGGTACACGTGGCCTTTCCAGATCTTTGCCCTGTTGGGAAGTGTAAATCGAAGCCAAGCCCTTCCTGGTGAACACACAAAGAGACCAACCCTGCGCATGTGTCTAATCCTCAGGCTGCTGAAGTCAGAAGGAATCCGGGAGGCAGCAGGTCGCAGATGTCCTCCGCAGAAAAGGCGATGCATGCCTGGTTTGACAAAGCGTTTTAGTTAACTAAAGCTCAAGAAGCTACTGGCATTTCATCTATTCAGGAAATAAAAGGCAGAATGGTTATCCTTTGATGCGATGAAATGTTCAACTTGTAAAAATCAAAGGAATAAACTTTCCTCTTGGTCTAGGAAAACATACTAAAATTTATGTTTTTCTCTAATTTAAAGATATACAATTTTAGAGTTACATTCTTTTAGGTGATTTAAGGGAAAAGAATATTGAATATTAGCTGGCAGAAATTTATGGATTTTTTTACCTATAGTCAAGAATATTTACAGTTTAAGTAGCTAAGGAGGTTGATAGTTAAGGAAAAAAAGATGTGCAAAGACCAAATACATTTATGTTTCCTCAATTGTGAGGAATTTATATAAAATGGATCTTCATAAGACATGTTTAATTCTGCTTTATTTCACAAGTATTTTTTATAGGTTTTCATTTAAATTGTCTTTTCAGTATTTGGATCATAATTACTTATGGAAGATACAAACTAAATCTGAGGGGAGGAAGATCATGAAAGCCTGGAGAATAAGGTTTCTTGCCCTTCATCCGGCTAAGGGGCAGCTCTAAGAGGGCACGGGGAGATACTGGTTCCATCCTTACCAAGAGGCCCCATCCTAACATGTCTCAAGAGTACACATGCCTTCTACTTCATTTATTTGGTGACTCTTCTCCCTCTATTCTTCTTTTACCCGTCCGTTATGCAAGAAAATACAAAATACCAGGGCAAATGTTTTAAATAGCAAGATAAATTCCAATCAGTTGTTACTCTGAAAGGAGATCAATTTCTGATCTCCCCAGAAAATTCACATACCTGATTTCACTAACCTTCATGGTTATCTCCTTTAAAAACTGGTAACTTGTGGAAAGTCATTTTTGCTAATTCCATTTCACTTTCAAAGATGATGCAAAGAATGTCTTACACATTTCTAAATGCATTTTCCCCACACGATCCTCTTTACAAACAGAATTGTCAAGTGACATTGATGCTCAGAGGTATTTTGTGATTAGACAACCATTTCAAGGTTGGTGTCTACAATAATTCTCATGATCATAAACACTTTCATTTATATGAACCTTTGTAATAGATGCTTTTCTCATTGCTGGGACAAAATACTTGACTAAAGCAGGGGATATGGAATGGCAGCCATGTGATGATGCTAACTGTTAAACACTGTATCCAGTCACTTCACATGGGGAGAAGACAGCAGTACTTAGCTTTCTTCTTCTTCTTCTTCTTCTTCTTCTTCTTCTTCTTCTTCTTCTTCTTCTTCTTCTTCTTCTTCTTCTTCTTCCTCCTCCTCCTCCTCATCTGCTGCTGCTGCTTCTTCCTCTTTTTCTTCTTTTCCTCCTCTTCCTCCTTCTCCTCCTCCTCTTTCCNCCTCCTCCTTTTTCTTTTTTTTTTTTTTTTTTTTTTTTTTTTTTTTTTTGCCTGGTTTAAGACTCCAGGCCACATTCCCAATGTGACTTCCTGCCTCTGGAAACAGCCTCACAGATATGCTCCAAGTGTATCTTCTAGGTGATCTATTCAATTTGATGGCATCATTTCATTAAGCTCCAAAATTCTGATTGGTTAGTTTTGTTTCTTGGATGTATATGTTTTTGTTTACTGAAAATAAAACAATCAAACAAAAGCACCCTTTCTTGAAAATTAGAGGACTGTAGAGTTTTGACTTTATTATTCAGAAACAATAAACGGGTTCTAGCAAGTTCCCAATGATTCCCTGCTCTCTTTGGGATATCTGTATGTTTGGTGCATTTATAACTTCAGTCATTGTCTTTTTGTAGGGTCTGAACTACAAAGTGGTTCTTCAGGTAACAGTCTTCAAATTTAAAATATAGATACCGAAGGAATTTCCTAGCCTTGTCATTGACATGAGGGAATCCAAGCTCATCAGATACATTTCCAACTTCATATCTACTGAGAAATAGTTTTGATTTTCCCCTTATGCTTTTCAATGTCTTCATAGAAATAACTATCAATAGTGTATATACCCAAGAGAGGCCTTATCACACAACAAACGTATATGCTCTACTATGTTTATAGCAGCATTGTTTGTAATAGCCAGAACCTGGAAACAACCTAGATGCCCTTCAATTGAAGAATGGATGAAGAAAGTATGGAATATATACATATTAGAGTACTACTCAGCAGTAAAAAACAAGGACTTCTTGAAGTTTGCAGGCAAATGGATGGAAATAGAAAACACCATCCTGAGTGAGGTAAGCCAGACCCAAAAAGAG